TCTTTTACATTTCAACCTTTTCTATCTGTCACCCTCGAGCGGTAATGATAATCTGATCCGTTAGCTCACCTGCCATAATCATATTTTCAGCACTGCAAAACGTCACATACGATGGAGGCAACAACACTGATCAACAGTGCCTTCCAAAGATATTCATTCCTCTTGAAGTTTTCCACATTATTGCCATTAACTTTAATAAAATAGCTCAGGCTTAATGGAATAGAAGTGTTAGTAAACATAAATATTCCATCCTGGCGATGGAGGCTCAACTAAAGTCCTTTAGCAGGTCTTGATCATAGATCCTCAAGGCCCCGATGGGGATGTATGGATATAAACGTTCTGAAATGTAAAGTGGTGTCTGTCCATGCAGAGATCACCAAGTCAAAACCAAATTCTTGAAATCCACCTGATGATCAACCAGGATTCAATAAAGTTGCTTTGGAAGTGGAATTAGATGACAACATTTTGAAGATCCAGTTTGGAGTCTAACAGCAGCATTTATTTCATTCATTTGACTGAAGTGTGTTAAAACAGGGACATAAGTAAAACATGAAGGATAACGTCCCCTGAGACTCTGGACACCACTGTCCTTCAGGTGCTTAACTTGCCTGATTTATTTTAGCCAAAAAAACAATAAAACTTAACATAGAATTGTGACAAGCAGTTCCTTTTCTCTCTAGAGATTGTCCATCTGAAGGTGGACATGTTGCTCTGCTGCAGGCCCTTCCCTCTGACCATGTTTTTTTTCCATAGAGGTTATGCGACTATGTGTGTGATCTCCTGCTGGAGGAGTCCAATGTTCAGCCCGTTTCTACACCAGTGACTGTATGTGGAGATATTCATGGACAGGTAAGATACTTTCTGTAAATTCATCAGGATGGGTTTGTATTTTTTTTTCTGCATTGTAAAAAAAAAAAAAAAATCTGGTTGTGTTTTGTGCAAATAAAATATAAGGTCCAAACTAATTTGTGCTCTGCTCGTGTCAGTTTTATGACCTGTGTGAGCTGTTCCGGACTGGCGGCCAGGTTCCAGACACCAATTACATCTTCATGGTTTGTTGGTTTCTGTCTGACTGAACGTGAGAGTTGTGGTGTTTGGAGTTTGTGTGACCAACCTCTGTTGTCTCCAGGGGGATTTTGTTGACCGAGGATATTACAGCTTGGAGACCTTCACTTACCTGTTGGTGCTGAAAGCCAAGTGGCCCGACCGCATCACACTTTTGCGTGGGAACCATGAGAGCAGGCAGATTACGCAAGTCTACGGCTTTTACGGTGAGACTAGTTTTGTAGAAAATGCCAAGCGTCAGCTGCCCACACCCCTAAACTCTGTTAGAACGTCTCATATTTCACAGACGAGTGCCAAACCAAATACGGGAATGCAAACGCCTGGCGATACTGCACTAAAGTATTTGACATGCTAACAGTTGCAGCTGTAAGTATGAAATATGTCATGTTTGTTTTAATGAAAAATGCATTTTGGATAAACCTAACAGCTTCATCACATCCAGCTGAAAAGGAAGGGTGATTCTGTTTCCTCTCCCTGTCTGTCAGCTGATGGACGAGCAGATTCTGTGTGTCCATGGCGGCCTCTCTCCAGACATAAAGACCCTGGATCAAATTCGAACCATCGAGCGAAATCAGGAGATCCCTCATAAAGGAGCTTTTTGTGACCTGGTGTGGTCGGACCCTGAAGACGTAGACACCTGGGCCATCAGCCCCAGAGGAGCCGGCTGGCTCTTTGGTGCTAAAGTTACAAATGAGGTAGGTGGTGGAAAACATTACATGAACTGAATGGGTCAAATGCTCATCAATCTTTAATGAATCATATAGCTAGACAACAATAAGAACTGGAAGATAGAAGACCTATTCAGTCCAATAGTGAGTTAATAAGGATACAACATAAGACTTGTCCTTATGTTCTTGTCTCAAATCTTAAGAAGATCTCATCCCTTGTAAGCTGAAGTATGTGACTTTTACAAAGGAAAGATTACTTGTTAAAACTTTTACAATCATCGTGTTTTCACCTATGTTTATTTTATTTGTAAGTATCACAATAGAAATGGTTGATGGAAACAAAATTGGAAAAACTTCTTCAATTTCGTAAAAAAAAAAAAAGGTTTTACGCTCACTTTAAGTACATTCTTTCTTTTCTTTTCTTTTCTGATAATGACTTAATGAGTTAAATATGAGATTGAAACATTATTCCAGACATTTGTCAGAACATTTTACTGTTATTACAGCCTGGTGTACATCTTTGTGTATCCTGGTTGATTCGCTCCAAACCAATAGATGCAAACACGGCTAATTTGCATTTTCTTTTTTGTGACATTTTAAACATTTGCATGGCAGATAGATGGAAGTGTATGAATGTGTTGACAGTATAATACTCCTCCTTCTCCTCCCAGTGTTTACGTTATCATCTACAGAAGTAGACGGGTTCTGGTCAAAAACAACCAAACAGAGTCAAGAGGAAGGTCTTAGCGCTGTCAATCAAGCTCAACCATGTGTTGCTCAATGTGCTGATAGCAGAGAAACAACTGCTTATCCGCCGTCATTGGTAGCCATGTTAACTAGCCTGAGGATTAATGGCAAGCTCCATCGCGGTGAACCACTTGTAGTGTAGCAGAGAGAAAAGGGGAGGGTGTGAGCAGCATACATAGGGGGTGATTGACAGTGCTAAGACCCTCCTGGCTCTGATTGGTTGTTTCTGATCAAGTTGTGTTTCTCTATTGGAGTGAAACCACAGGGCAGAGGCAGAGGAACTCTTATTTATTTATTTATTTTTAAGCAAATTATGTGCTATGTTATTGTCATGACATCGCAACAGTTTTAACCCATATGTAATAAACACATATTTTTTAAAAGCTGTGATAAATATTGTTTATCCATTACCATTGAAACTAAGGTAGTGGAATTTCTGAATTTAATGGATGATAATAACTACAGTTCAGAAAACTGAAGAGTTAAAGTAGATTAAAAAGTTCTGTAGCGGGGTTACTGAGAGCCGTCTATGCAGCTGTAAAGTGAAAAAACTCAATACAGAATCCTTCAGTTATGGAAGACTGAAAAGAAGCCAGCTGCAGTGTTGAAATAGAGAAGAAATATTATGAAATCGTAATTAATAAATGTTGCCTTTACCACATGAACTGTCTTTGTTTATATTGTGCTGACAAGATGAAAGCCTTTCAGCCCTTTGCATTTGAATTGTAAAATAACACACACCCTTCAGATTGTTCCGTCAGATTAAAAAAAAAAAAAAAAATATATATATATATATATATATATATATATATATATATATATATATATATATATATATATATACACACATATAGTTCAGGACAGAAACTATTCAGCTAACAATTCCTGCTTTTTTATCTTTCACTCTCTCTCTTTGCAGTTTGTTCACATCAACAGCCTGAAGCTCATCTGCAGGGCACATCAACTCGTCCACGAAGGCTACAAGTTCATGTTTGACGAGAAGCTGGTCACTGTGTGGTCGGCTCCCAATTACTGCTACCGCTGCGGCAACATCGCATCCATCATGGTCTTCAAAGACGTTAACACAAGGGAGCCAAAGCTTTTCAGAGCAGTGCCTGACTCCGAAAGAGTCATCCCTCCCCGAACAACGACCCCTTACTTCCTGTAGACGCTCTTCAGATGAAGCAGCTTGTTCAGTAGGCAGAGGCACAGCACTTGTGAACTCATGTAAACGTTGGTGTATTTGGGTGTGTTAAGGGAGCACTTCTTGGTGCCAGCTGTCAGTTTTTATTCCCACTCTGTGATGCATTTAATGCCGTTATTCTGCAGCTTAAGTTACACCTAGAAACCACAGCAAAGGAGGGTCGCTGAGCATTACTGCTGTATTAGAAGAAGGACTCCAGTCAACTGACAATGTAAAATCATATTTATAAAGCTTCTTTGTTTTCCATTAAAAAGAAGCAGATTGCACATTCAGCAATGTATAGATTGTTTTGATGTTATTTTGTTATGGTGATGTATTTAGCTGGATGTACAAAAGCACTGCTCACAATTCAAAGCTCTGCATCCTGACAGGTCTCACTTCCCGGTTGTCATCATATAACCCCATGGATAAACTGTAAACCTGAGAGTTAATATGTAAAAAAAAATAAAAAAATGCTCATCTCCTTTACGTTTTGTTTAAACTGTGGTAACAGTCTGCAATTTCAAAATGTAAAGTCAGTTCTTTGTGGATATTATTCCTGTCTGTATTTAAATAAATCCTACTGAAAAGTATTATGCCATAAGATGTTGTTGTAGGGTTCTAAATAATAGATATTATCTCATGTCATCCGGAATCAGCCTTTTCATTCAGATTATTGCCAAAGGTAAAGCCGACTTTTTAATTTCTTGGCATGTTGTATTTGAATCTGGATTATTACCCCAGAACCATAATTTTGTTTTCTTTTTTTGATTCTGATGTTGACTTTGTGTATAATCAGAGATTTCCCCTTGATATTCTGATCATGCAGATTGGTAATAAACTAGACCTGAGGTAAGTGGCCCAGAGGTACGTTGACATGTGCAGGAGAGGAAACAAATCAAATCTATAACTTTTCTGATTACAAGAGAACAATTTTTTTTCCACTGGGTCCATGATTTCTCGTGTATAATGAAACTGTCACTGTGGTTATCTGCAGTCACAATCCCAAGAATATGCGTCTGTGGCCATTTTCAAACTTCTAGATAATATATAGCTATAATTATTGAATGTGATTCTCTACTGCATATTACTATATAGGATTCCAGAAAGTCAATGGGGTTCAATGTGGGTGATAGAACATAAGTTTCTGTAACAAGTTGTCAGAGTTTAATATGTATGGTCTCTATACTGTGCTATTGTCAAATGCTGAATTTACCTCTTGGTCTGAGGGATTGTTCACCAAAACAGTTACTATCTATGTTGCCACGCCTACAAAATTTGCTAGCCAATCAGCAGAGGCCTCACCTGACGTATTCAGTCAGCTGGTGGTTGGCTGATTACGTGTAGCTCGCTCCCCAGCAGTAGCTAGCTTATCAGACGAATCAGTTTCATCGACTTTTTTTCCATTACCGTTTTATTTACCTACTTCTCTTGGAGTTGTTTTTAAGTGTACATCGAAAAGGACAATATGTAAAGCCACCGAGAACGTGGAAGTGCAACGAGTGGACTTTTAGTTGGAATTACTATGGTAAGAGAGTCTGGAGAAGCAGTAAGCTAGCGAGAGCTAACATTTACTCTCATTGTTAAAAACAGCAGAGCTAGGAGGCTGTCAAAACATTATGTGTCAGTTTGCCTAGACGGTCCTAATTTGATAAACCCTCATAAGACAGCAATGTGTCAGCTAAATGATGTACGCAAATTTAGTCAGCATAAACAGAAGCTCATCCATGGCAACACATTTAGCTTTGCAACTTATAGAAAGCAGGATAAGATTTGATGAACTGACACATATCTTCTAAACTGATCGACTGATTTAAGATCCAACTTTCTGAGCTTTTTCAAAGAGTTCCCGCCTTGCTGTATCCCCAATATTTAAATGCCTGTTGTTGGAGGATCTATCAAACGGAGGTGTTCAGGTTGCTGTCACCTACCTGAAGTGAACAGAGCACTTCAGGTAGGTGCACAGTGCAGCTTTTGGAACCAATGTATCTCAAGTTTTACGTGGAACATTACCATAAAGGCATAGAGCAAATTTTATTTATGCCAAACTCATTAACTTCAGGTTTTGCATTTGGAATACAGTTTCAACAACCTCTTTTGTTGGTTCATACATTATGTCAAATGTCCTTTTTATTCTTCCAGATGTAGCGGAATGAAAACACCGCAAGCCTGTTTTGAAGTGGGAACAGAAAAGACGAGACCATTTTCTTGAGCTCTCTGAACAACAGGCATTAACATCCATACATATGGTAACAAATTCTCCAGAAGTTGTAAAGTGCACTCAAAACAAGACGCTAAAGGGAGGAACATGTTTGCCAAGCTGAAGAAGAAGATTGCAGAGGAGGCAGCCACAGCCCCCAGAAGTGGTGTCCGGATCCCCCGCACCATTAGCAAGGAATCTATTACCTCAGCAGGAGCTGACTCTGGGGATGACTTTGTAAGTACTTTGAAACTTCACATCTTGGTCTGTAGCCCAGTCCTGCATCACTTGCTTCATACCCTTTCCTGATGAAAGGGTATGAATGGAGACTTTTAAAATTTATTATATAATGTGCAAAACCATCTGCCAAATAAAATCAGTTTTAAGGAACAGCCAAAGCAGGACAAATTTAAATTAGGTCCATTCTTTCTGAACAGTTTTTGCAGAAACCTGAACTGTTTGACTCAGATCAGGTGTGCTGAGGCAGCTACACATTTCAAACGTATAGAGCGGTGTTCCTGAGGACCAGAATTGGGATCCTCTGTTCAACACCTCAGATGTGTCTAGGATTATCCCAGTTGTCTCTTTAAATCTAAAAATTATAAACAGAATCATAAAGATGCTTTTGAGTGTCCTGGACTCAGTGGTTCATCACAGTTGTGTTCCAGCTCCAACACTGACAATAACCCAGATTGGATAAAAGCTTTTAAGAGCTCCAGGACTGTGCTTCCAGTGGATTTTATACAGTATTAAATTTTTTTCTTGATAATGCTCCCTAATTGGAGAGTAATGATAATTCTTTGTTCTAAAGTACTGCAGCAACTAATATAACATTGCCAAAATACTTACTGAAATGCAAGAGAAGAAATAACCAGTTAAAATTAACTTAAATGCTTCAGAGATCATCAGATTTTCTGCTGAATAATGACAGATAAATTTTATTTAGGTGTCTTTGCCTAAATGTCAGCAATGTCCAGAGTTCAGGTGGAGTTTATGTGTCATATTGTGATGTACTGTAATGCAAAGTGTCCCGGGCTGTTCAGATCGGTGCATGCTTAGAAAGTCTTGCCCTGTTTTAAATGGTTGCCAGTCAGGCAGGTTCAAGCAGCCGAACCAGCGTGGGACTGACATCGTGCTGGAACAAGGATTTCTCACTGGGTTGGTCTCTCTTGCACAGGCCATTTTTAAGCTATTGTTCCTGGCCTTTAAAGCAAATCAGAATAAGTCCTCCATGTTTTAAGTGATTTGGTAATCTATTTTTTAAAAACCACAAAACTCTTAACTATTTTTTTTATCTGTACAGTTTACTGTTCACTGTGTGTCTTGCGTTTCGGTCTGCTGTTTACTCAATAAAACAAATGGAGGCATGTTAAACTCTCAGAATGGTGTCGTCTCTCACTCTCAAAGGAAAACTGTGGAGGTTGAGCTCACCTAAATAATTTAGTGAGTAGCAGTGTCTTGGTTTTACTTATGGTACAGCCCAGGTATTCTGTACAGGTTGTCCTTTTTACACTTTTAGAGTATTAATTTCTGCTCACTGTGTTGATATGTTAATATGATCATTACTCTGTTTTTCAGCAGTATGAAGCTAAAAATGTAACATCTGGGTTTTTGTTTCTGTTCACCCTGTGTACCAAAATATTTGCTATGAATTTTTTCTGAATGTTTTATTTGGGAGAGTCATTATTAAGCATGTTTTGCTCTGTATTCATGAATTATCTCTCTCTCTCTATATATATATATATATATATATATAGCTATTTATTTGCCTCTTTGATGTATATCTAAGATTGTAAAAGAAAAGCTTAACAATTGTGCCATTTTTTGTCTGATTAATTGTCAGAATAACCAATAGATTAATTGATTTCTAAAACAATCATTATTTGAAACCCTCTTTCCGAGGGATAAAATATTATAAGAGCAGGAAAATGGTCTGCTTTGCAGACTTTAACTGCCAGATGTAAGAAGGGTTGTAACTGACCACTGCTCACCACTGGATCATGTGTTTCTGCCCTTTGAACATCCAATATCCCAGTTTGAATACAGTCGTCTAATACAACGACATTTTCAAATTAAATGATGATATGTGTTAAGAAAACCCTTTTTTTCTGTATGTTTAAACACTTCAAAAAATTCAGCAGTACTGAGTGTTCCTAGCCAAGAATATTTAAGCAATATTAAATAAAAGCATTTTTGGGAAAGATGTTTAGACATATGCTGTGACAAGGTCTCAAGATAAACCTTGTATTTTACCTTTTTTTGTTGTATTTGTGACTCATTTTGTAGCCATCTTAAAATATCTTTACGTTTTCTCTGATGAAGGTCCTATTTGCCATTTCTCCGTATGTAGGCATCTGACGGCAGCAGCTCCCGGGACGACTTGTCAGCCCAGCTTCTTAGAAGAAACGATCAGATCCGGAAGCTGGAGGCCAAGCTGTCAGGTAGGATGTGGGACTGAGGTCAAGCATTTTCAGTCTGATTCAGTACAGATGAAAGTCATTTAATGTTTGCAGAAAGCAGAAAACCTTGTGCTGATAAACAATAAAACCTGAGGGTCAATGATAAAAGGAAACTACTTCCTTGATGGAAGCCAAATATTCCCATTTTTGCCAAAGATACATCAATCAGAATTCCCTAGTTAAATACTAAAAACTCTGTTATTGTAGAGCTGCCTCTACAGATATGAAACAATTTCAGCGTTCATTAATAAAGCATGTGTTTTCTCTAAGCTATTTGGTAATCTGACTTTTTATGAATCTGTTATTGACTTAAGTCAGATTACCAAATAGCTGAAAACGTTCATGGCAGAAAGAGGTTCTGTGCTTCATCTGATTTCACATTAAACACCTCTCTGCTACTGGTCATATAGCAGAGAGGTCATGTAGCAGAGAGGTGTTACATAAAAGGCTTATTTGGTAGAATAATGATGTGAAAGTCAACCTCAAATACATTCAACTAGAACATCACCTAAATAGTAAAATACCCCATTGGTCAAAGTCTACAAACATTATACTGATGATGAAGCAGGTACAAATGATTCAATTCAAAACATTTCTGCTAGAGAGAGCATCTGGTGTAAACATTGCACCAAACTTATTCAAATAATCATTGAAACTAGATTTATGATTAAAGATCATCAAGTTTTTTTAAATTATCACACATAAGTTTTGCAACTTATGTGTGACCTCTCTGCTACTGGTCATGTAGCAGAGAGGTGTTCCATCCTGAAGAAGAACATCAGACCCTTCAGTTTGGGCTGATTTGCCTAAAAATCAGGAAAGTAGTTCAGGAAAGTAACCTTATGATAACTGCAAATAAAAAAATGGCCTTTTACAGTTTGGTTAGGTGACAAATATCTGAATAGTTTGAGCTCAACAAAGTTCATGTTATAATCCTGGATTCTAATATTGTATAAGCTGTGTGAAAAATGTATCAGTTTTTTATGTTTGAATGCAAACATCCATGATATCTTGAAAAATAATAATCCAAGTTGGACTGCAGCCTGCAGCAGTAATGCACAGAGGTATAAATATACAAAAGCAGTCAGTCCATGTTAGAAGTCTGCAGTGACTTCACTTCTGTGATTCCAGTAGAAAATAAGTTGGAGTCTTTCCTCAAGTCTTAATACCCATATTTTTCACAGTTTTTTTCAGAAGTTCTAATTATCTTCTATATGATATGTTTTTTGTGTTTGATAGAAAGATTAAGTGGTTTTTACGAATCCTGTTCATTGCTTTGCTTTCGGTTCTATTTTCTGTGAATTTTACACAGACTTCTTATCTATTCTGGAGAAATTTGACAGTGAAATATTCCTTTGGTAAAATGGTAGTCTTAACTAGCTGTGCAATATTTTTGTACTAAAGGTCATTATATGAAGTCTAAATTACTTTATTTTACATTTTAGTTGTATGTTTCATAACTGAAGGCAGAGCAGCTGATTTTGACTGGACTTTAATGAGCCTGCAGCTGGTGTAAGTTTCAGTTATTCATTTGAGTTTTTCCAGCTGAGATCAGGTTGGGATCAGTGAACGTGTCTGTGGTTGTTTAATTGTGTGTGTACTCTTTATCCATTGTGAATAGTTGCTGTTTTTATTTTCTAGCCCTACTCTCTCCTTTTATTCCCTTTAGCTGCTGTAATGATGTTCACCCATAGAAAAGGTTAAAGGTCATACATTCTCATGAAGCCTTTAAACCTGTATGGTTTTCTCAGATGTGAAAATCATTAGAAACTTTACCTTCCATTGTTTCTCAATCATATTTTCCCTTTTGTTTTCTTCTTGTTCTTTTGTTCATATCCTCCCCTGCCTGTCTCTTACCTGGTCTGTTCCTCTGTTTTGTGTGTGTGTGTGTATGTGTTGTCGATACCCCATCCCAAAACTCTACTTCTCGACACTAGACTACGCTGAGCAGCTACGAATTATGCAGAAGACCAAGGAGAAGCTTGAAATTGCTTTAGAAAAGCATCAGGATTGTACGTACCTCTCCTCTCCTCCCAAACAGCTTTCTCTTTCTTGCTTATCTTTTCACTTCTTCAGCATCACTAAGCGCATCAACACTTCTGTATGGATTAGTTTTAAATCTTTGCTTTGTGGACACTTGGCTGCTGCTTTTTCTTTCAATCTAAAATCCACCCTTAGTTTCTTCTTGTATTTAATTGGAGATTTTTGTGTCCTTTATTGATGGAATAGTACGAAACCTTCTGCAGAGGGCAGCGAGTTCAGCCACACCTTTGACCCATGTGTAAATAGTAGAAGTCAGCACAGGTGGTTTATGGTCTGTTGACTTTGTTGCCAGAGGTGAAATTTCTCAACAAATTCTTCCAATACCTTAAATTACTTCCAGCTCATCTTTTTGACCTTTCAAACCTGAGAGCTTTTAAGTTCTAGGTTGTCTTTCAAATGTCACCTGCCTCCCTTGTGGTCTTTAGAGGGTTATTTGCTGTTTAGCTAGTTGCAGCAGTCTCAGAAGTATTCCTGCCCTTCATCACCTATTGTCATGTTATAACCACAAAGTCTGTTTGGTTTGAGCTGTTATTGTTCTGTCAATCTAAGATCTGCTGGATTAATAAAATGAAATCAATATGGTCTTTGTTTTAAAGAAGAGCGAATAAAACCTTTTGTTGAGAAGTGAAAGAATTAAAGATGTTCAGATTCTCCAGTGATAATGTTATTGTTTTCTTAAAGGCGTAGAGTGTTTTAATATTGTCGGGAACTCTTGATAACTTCTGACTCTTTGAGTTTTAGACCAGCAAAAAAAAAACCTCTATCTTTTTGTGGAACTGCATACAAAAGCATCTGGTTAGGTTTCATACCACAGTCCTTCACTCTGACCATCAGGTCAATGTGTGGACACCCCTGTGTGGTAGGGGGTTCTTGGAGAGTCTGAGGGATTTACTTGAGGTTTAACCAGGGTGGATTTGTTTACCCTGCACAGAGTCCTTAACAATACCCTTTCTGCCCTTTTTTCTCTGACGCCATGCATCGCTTCTCTTTGCCTGTTTTTTTCTTGTTTTTCGTTTTTGCTTCCAGGAAGAACAGCTAATCTCCCTTCACAGCTACTAACAAAGCTTCTTTTTGATTTATTGGCTGTATCATTTACATATGAACCTTTGTATGGTTTCTTTCTTTTTTTCCTGCTGTCACTGTCACTGCACAGCATCCATTAAGAAACTCCAAGAGCAGAATGAGTGTCATCTGAACAGCAGGGCCAAAATGGCTGAGGGAATGGCTTTAGCTCTGGAAAAAAAGGATCAGGTAAACCCCTTTGTATCTGTCAAATCTCACAGCAACTGTTAGTTTGTGAGTTTAGCTTGTTTGCTTATTTCTTTCTCCCTCTTCCTACAGGAATGGATGGAGAAGATGGCTGATGTAGAAAAAGCAAGTACCTCAAATTGTTTCTGATGTTGTTTTTTCTGGAGGTTTTGATATAGTTTGGATTCCCTGAACGTTTTCTTGGCGCTGAAATGTGCAGTGGAATCATATTGCATGCATGTTCTCTACCATTTCATTGTAAAGTGGTGTAAAACTGGGCTGTTTGGTTTGATTCATTTTTTACTTCATCTTTTGTGGGTAGCACCATTACATACTGTCAAGCCCAAAATTATTCACACTGCTGGCAGATTTAGGCTTAAAGTATTTTTTTAATCTTGTCGTCTTTCTTTTGACTGGGCGTAACAGTAATATTTTCAAACGGCCCAGCCAGTCCTTATTAAACCTGGAAGAGAATCTCAGAAGGAAGCTAAAACTTAGGATCATGGCAAAGAGTGAATCATGGAAAGAGAAAGAAAGATGCAGAAGTCCAATCAGTATTTATAAGAAGTTACAAGATTGCTCTGCCAATATAGAATTTTTTTTTTATTAAATTGAAAATTTTCACTGAAAAGGATGTAAACTATTTTTGATGCACCTTTCTTTTTTTCAAATAAAGCATAATTAAAATGAAATGTAATGTTTAGGACTGGTACTCCTTTTGAATGATATTTTAACAGAAGCCTGTCTATTATTGCTCTGCTGTGGTTGGGGACAGTTGGGGTTCAGGTGGGATGATAAGATCTATGACATTATAGTCATGAATCTGAAGCTGGCATAATTGAAAATTATCCACTAACTAATAACAATCACATACTTATTAAAACAAGCAAACAAACACAGGGAGATGAAAAAGGGTAAATATTTCTGGGCCTTATTAAAACAAACCAAACATTTGAAACATAATGATTAAAATGCTCTTCCATCAACAAGTGGCCATGGTTCATAATATAACATTTTATTTGCTCTATTAAAAGAACTGAACAGTAAGTAGGTTATCAACCCGCAACCATGCTTGCATTATTGTCTGTTTAGATAGAATAAAATTTCAAAACGTATAATCTCACATATTTATCAAAGTCGTATTTTCTTGTGGTTTAAGCTTAAAGTATCTTAAATTGCATCTCAAATTTTATGTGGAAGTTGAACTGAAATATAATGGCTCTGAATCCTTTAGTACCGCCACCTGCTGGTATGTTTTATCCTTCAGACCAATGTCTTGGAGAATTTAAAGAATCCTAAAGTCTGCTAGCTATCTGCATGCCCAGTTGTTACAGAAACCGGTTTGTTAGTATAAATTCAAATATTCTTTCAATCTATGCAGTCCATGCATAGATTTACAGGTTAACATGCTGCACTTGTTAACAAGACAACGTAGCTCGAACATATGGACATATGGTGGCAATATTCTGAGAATGCTTCGGGATATCAGGAGCTGAGTGTCATCCAACCTTATGATTTACCGTAATGCTCTATGGCACCACATACTCCCTTCATTTTGACTCGGTCAGAGTGAAATGTCTACTCTTGTGCTCCCTGTGGTGTGAACAAAAACTCAACAGCTTGATTTTACCCCTGGAGCTCTTGTCAACACCATGTATATTCTTGAAAAGCTGAAGACAGAAACAGAATGGCTTCAGCTGGACTGAGCATTGTTGGAACAATCCATTTGGTTTGTTAAAGGGGCAGTGTTGTGTAAAATCAACGTTTGTGTGCTTTACATCATGTTATGATGTTATTCCATCATCAAAAATATTTTTGGAGTGTTTGCGTGATTCTTTTATGTATGTTTGAGAAGTCCTGTAGTCTCTGTTGGCAACCAGTCAGCTGTGCAAAACGGCTGGCTGGGGCCTGGCTCCACTGTCAAGTATGAAGCACCGCCTAAGAGCCTCAGCAGCCCTCCCCCATGACTCTCCCACTCTGCTCCTTCAGACTAGCCAGCAGCAATTACGATACACCTGACGGAACTGCACATCTGCTGAGCTAATAATAGGAGCTACTTCTCAGAGCAATGCTGACATAAATTGTTGTTAAAGGGTTAATAGAGTAGACATGTGATGACTTTCTGAAGGTGGAGTTTCAGAAAGATCACGCCTTTCTTAAAGAGACAAAGGTCCAATTTCAAGATGTTAAATTACAAAGTCAAATTTCTTTTAGGTCATATTTGATGATATAGCATTTTTATAACAATGAAAGATAACATACTTACTTGATTGAGCTATAAAATGAGAAAACACATAATACTGCCCCTTTAAGAATGCTCTCTGCACTGCTCGTTTGGACCTACACTGCCATCAACAAACACACACACTGTAGAAGTACTGTTGGAACCCCACAGGGAGTGTCAGGGAGTATGTTGCCACCCGACATATGGAATGGCGAATGTGTGGAATCTCTGGTATAAATAGTTATTCTGTATGTTTAGGAGAAAGCTGCCCTGTCAGTTCGGCTTGAAGAGATGATGGATCAAAGCTTAGCACTCTTCCAGAAAAGGGATGACCTGGATGAACTGGAAGGCTTTCAGCAGCAAGAGCTTGCTAAAGTTAAGCACATGGTGCGTACATGGGAAGTTTGTCAACATCTCTTTTTCAAGCACAGTTTGGGATTAAATAGAGAAGTTAGAATAGCGAAGAGTGGATCTACAGCCTTAATTAAAGAGCTTCACTGTAACTTAGTGCAGTCTCTTTATATCACTGCAGGACCCAAAGGAAATGTTTCATTTGTTCTCAGCTACACAAAGCTCATCCATGTTGCTTTCTTAAGGTGGTACTTTTTTTTTTTTAAATCTTTCTGTCTATCAGTTGCTGAGAAAGGAGGAGATGCTGAGCCAACGGGAACGGGAGCTCCAGCAGAAGGAGGCTGAGGTTCAGTCAGCGAGGCGGGGCCTGTCCGAGGCTCGGGGGAAGCTCCAGTCTCTGCAGCAGCAGCATGAGGACAGCAGCAGACTCAACTCAGAGCTGGAAATAGAGCGGTGAGATGTTCAGCCATGAATCCAAGGAATCATTTAGCTTTGTGTTAGAATTCATTTCAGTCTCGGCATTGATGTTCAGGACTTTTTATAGACTGGATCCATCTGTCCTCCTCTCTTGACACTTGTCAGAAAAGTAGCATTTGTCTGAAGATTAAAGAGATTAGATAACAATAAATTATTATTATCTACTCCGTAGATTTGTTTTTAGCATTTTGCTCATTTGTTTTTGTTAAAAATTAAAAGTTTCATTAAAATATTACCAAGTAAGAATCTCTGCTTTCATAACAGAAAAAATACATAGTTAAGCAAGTGTGAGGATCCTCATACAGGGAACATTTAATGCGAAATAATTTATTGTACTTAAGATTCCTATTTGTAAGTTATGTTAACATATGGGCCAGGAACTGGTAATAAATTAGGAGCTGTTTGGAAGCCAAAAGAGCTGTGGAGGAGAATGCAAAGGAGGAGTTTAGAGCAAGAACCTAATGCTATTTTCTACTCTGTTTTGTTGTAACCTGCTAATAATTTGCTCTGAATGTATGTCAGTTCACTCCTCTTGAATGGAGTTTAAGAGGAGTCCTGTAGTCCTAGGACCCCTCTTATTTAATACCTATATGCTTCCGCTAACTCAGGGCAGGATTGTCCAGATGCATGGTGGGAAGTCTGATCAGTCCTGACATTTTGCTCCGTCTTGTTCACCAACATTTCTCCGTTGGTGAACACTGTGTGCATAAGAGATGTGGCAGTTGTGTTTTATCTGGCTTAAAAGACGACACAGGTGTAACTCCCCCAGCAGCTCTGTAGGGCAGCTAGTGTCTCAGGAACCCTATGAACAGTGTTTTCTCTGCAAACCCCTGATATGATCATCAACTTGTTGTTTGTACTTGTGCAGAGAAGAACTGCTGCTGCTCCGAGAGGAAGCAGACAAGAAGATCTGTGAACTAGAAACACGATGCCAGGATCTGCAGGCGGTCATCCAGCGGGTTTCAGAAGACTTCCAAACGGTCAGCTCAGAACTCTGTAACTTCTGCACTGCACACGTTCTGATCCATTCATAATCATATTATCTTTTTATTTCTTTCAGTCTCACAACATGGCATCATCCCTAGAGAAATCCCTCCACGATTTGCAGGCTGACAATGAATCCCTGAAATTACAACTACAGAGGGTGAGAACAAAGGTGGCAGAAATAATTCTTAGACAAAGTCAAGACTTGGCTTTTTATGATAAAACCGTTAAGCTGGGTGATAAATTGTGCTAGAAGTTATTACGGTAAACAACAATATTAGTTTGAGACCATTTTCAAGTAACATATTGATAATAGCATAAAAATGCAAGAACACCCTGTCAAAGATCAATTAACTTTTATTTCTAATAAACATTCAACACTGGAAGGCCATTTAAATATCTAAAACAACTCAAATAAAATGGCAGTGTATACTGAAGCTTCTGTAAACAAAATTGTCCTTCAAAAAAAGGTCTTGTTGAGACCAGTGCACCAGACTAAAGATCTCATCATCCAGTCTTTAGTTAAAAAAAAGATAGAGTAACGAAAAAAAAAAACATCATCCAAATGGAAATTATCAAGCTGGTTTTTATTTATCATGCGATGAAGTTATCATGCAATTCAGGACTAGAAACACATTCCAAGATGCCAAGTTCATTAGTAGGCTTCAAGTTCAAAACTACAGAGTGGGAACTTGTCATGACTGTTTGGTCAGGCTGCAGTGACAGAGGAGGAGAAGGAGCGGCTGCTGGTGGAGCTTCAGAGGAAGGCTTCGTCCCTGGAGAGACGGCTGCAGGGGAATCTGAGCCAGGACGAGCATCTGCAGGAGCTCCTTCAGGAGGTGGGCTTCTCCCAACAGGCTTCCTATAATCCCTTCACAGATCATTCTGTCCATAACTTAGAAATAATTCTTCCTTATTGTAGGCAATTCATAATATACAGTTGAAACCAGATATTTGCATGCACCAAATGAAAAAAGACACATACACATTCCTTTCTCACTATCTGAAGTTATATCAGACCAAATGTATTTTACTTTTTAGGTCAGTTAAATTATTTGCTTCAATTCAAAAGTTTATACATGTACATTTTGAAAGACAAGGTATCACCTGACTAACAAAATTATTTAAACTTTTGAATTTTTGGAAAGTTACAAAAACTGTCTCTAAAAAAATATTGTCGCCATGTTTTCTGGCCTTCAGAAAATTGAAATAATATGAATAATTCTAGCCGTCTTAAAGCAAGAGAGGTTTGGTCAGATTTAATTTTGACTAACAATCTGTTTTTTTTTTTTTGTCAACATAAATATGAGAAGGGAACTAGCAGAATCATTCTGATTACCTTTGCTGCTGTTTTTGTTCTAGAAAACTGACCTTGAGCGAAACCTGGAACAGATGAGAGCAGAACTGTTGGCTGTCAGGACGAGCCACGCCGACACGGTCAGCTCTCTAGAGGCACAGGTGAAGCGATGCATCTGCTCACTTTACATCTCTATCTAAAAATAAATATGCCCTCCTTCACTTCTAAGGCTGGATGTAAATGATCCAAGTAACAATTTGACAATTTGAATCTTGTAATGTATTCAGCAAAAACCAAGAAGATGTTTTTTTTATCTATTGGTCCCTCAGGCTACATCTCAGCTATGACTGAAAAAGATGAGAAGGTTCATTGTGTTCATTGTGTTCTCCTCTCTTTATGAAGAGGCTGAAACAGACAAACACCAACAATGCATTAGGGCTGCAACTAACGGTATTTTATAAATCAACATTTCTAGCAATTGTTCTTAGGATTAATTAATTAATTAATCTAATTCAATAAAATTGCCACATTCTGCAAATGTTTCATTTAGCCACTTAAGTCCTTTTCATACAATATTAGAAACACATTCCAAGATGCCAATTCACAATTCAATTCTTTTTTAAATAAAAATAAACATTTTATCACCCATAATACAGTTGCTGTATGCCTTTAGTGAACTCTTGATCATTTGTAACAATTGATGTATCTACACCTTCAAACACCAACATGTGGAAAAGCTGAGTCCTTTCTGCTTGACTTCACATCAAGAGAAGTTAGGACTGATCTATTGATTATTTTATAGATTTGTCAGTAAATAATTAGCCAGCAAAATATGTTGATTGTTTTGTAATAGAATTTTGTGACATGATTTGAACCAGGTGAAGCTAAAACTGCCACTTGAGAACTGGACCTTCTTACAAATGACTAAAGCAGACTAAACAGAGCTGTTGTGAATGCATCCTAAATGAACAGAATAAATAAATCTTTAGGTCCATCTTCCTGATTTCTTGGTGTGTCCTCCTGTCTGAACTCAGGTGTCTAAGATGAGTGGCAGTATCAGTGAGCTGCAGACTCTTCTTCGTCACAAAGAGGACTCCTCAAAGGCCTACAGAGAGAGAACAGATGCTCAGGTAAACTGCTTCACACTTACTGGTAATGATCACAGGACTCATTTACTGTTACTGATCATTTATGTTTATAATACATGGTAGGTCTACATTGTGATGACTAGGATTAGTTTGATTATGGTCATGATAATTTTCTTTTAAGACTTGTTTATATTCTCTGAGATTCTTGAATTTTCCACAACACACAGAGGACAGCTCAACTCCACTTCAAGTTTTGCCACTTATATATGCTTAAATCTTTAATATGGTTTTAGAATATATATAATATAATAATATATGGTTTTAAATATATCTTAAATATATTTTAAAGAAATTCTTTTGATAAACCTCAAAGTTCAGCCAAGTTTCAAATAGGAACATTAGAAAGCGAATAATGTTACTGAGATGAAAACAGTAGGATAGATGTTGGTATTCTTCTCTGTGCTCATGTTACCAAAAAACATGAAATAAACAAACCCCCTTACAAGAAATGGATTTCTGCTCTTCCTCTTTATCTTTCTGTAATCCTTTCTTACTTTAACTTTTCTCCTCTTTCCTTAATCAGTAGTTTTCCTCAAATATTAATTCTAAATTTCATTAACATTTAATTTGGATTCTGATCAATACTGAGTGCTGAATGACATCTTATTTTGACCAGTAGTTTCCACTGCAGATCTGAAACCAGACTTCTTGTTCTTTGAAGGAAAGCTTCTTCACGTTGATTGAACATTTAGTCCATGGCATGTTTTATGTGCTATATTATGTTTTAAAAAAAGATCAACAAACAAACCAACAGATAAGAAGTTGAACAAAACTCCCTAACTATATCAGCAGAATGAATTTATATTCCACCTAGGTTCAGGCATCTCTAACTTTCCTCACCGGCATCTCAATCATTTATTGCATATTTACTGTAACATGTTCTTGTTTCAGATTGCCAGTCTGGAGCAGCAGGTTGTGCAGAGTACAGAGAGGATGAAGAGTGCAGAGCAGCAGGTCACAGAGAAACAGAAGCACATGGAGAAACTGGTAAACATCCCAACACTGCCTCCTCCTCTTTCACTTCAAAATTTGCAGTTTCCCCTTTGAACTTTTATGTATGGGCAAAAACAGATAGCTGTGTGTCCTGGGAGTTTAACATTAATGAGCTATTTAATTTTAAGGTAACCTACTTTACGTTCAGTATGCATAACTTCTCCTGGGGACCTTGTTTTACTAGGAAAGGAGCATTGGCAGTGCAGTAACAGAAATTTATTTATAAAAAGATCTGCATCTTCCAAAAGTGCATTTGAACTCCTTTGCTTTTGGAGATGGTACCATTATAGGTTCGGTCAAAATGTTCAAATTTCTTTTTTTTTTTTAAGTACATTTAAGGCCAGTTTTCTTCCAGCAGGGGGAGTGGAGTTCTGAGAAGGCCTTTCTAGAGCAGCAGTTGTGTTTGTTGGAGCAGCAGAGTGTGGAGACGTCCAGCCGGCTGGAGGAGAACATCTCCTCTCTGCAGACAGACAAACAGTCTCTCCTGGACAGAGTGGTATGGTTCTTCTTCTCTCTTTGTTTACGTGAAAACGGTAGCAACGTTTCCATTACAAATTTGTAAAACTTTGCCGATATTCTGCTAATACCAAACAAACCACAATTTTGCAATTACTGTGCTTCCATTAAAAAAGAAACGCATCACGTGATAAGTCATTAAAAAACATGCTGCGTCAGCATCCTCTAACTACTTTCTGTCGTCTTCTTTGTGATTTGCACCAGTGGCTACATACATGTTGTTGAGCATGTGACCCGTGTGATGTGAAAAGTGTTTCCATTGCAGTTTTGCTAAATAAATCAATTTATCATCTCATCCTATCACTAAAACCTAATAAAAAACAAAACCTTTTTCACATTTGGTTTGTTTCCATTATGCACATTCATTTTCAAAATGTCAAATTGTGAAATTATATTGACAATGGAAACACAGTCAGCAGCAGTTATTTGTAGAGAGATAGATCAATGTTTATTAATAGCTCTATAAGTGCTAAACAAAAACATATGAAAATAAAAATGTATTTGTTGTGTGTTGTCACACCATGGAGAGCCTGTTTTCTGTCTGGCAGGCTGATCTGGATAAACAGGTGGTTGAAGCTAACACCATGTTAAAGCAGCAAGCAGAAGAGCTGGAGAACTGTAAGGTAAAAACTACAACAGTCTTGATTAAAAAAATGCTTATTTGTACAAACTAATATTAATAAAAATGTGTAAAACTTGTTGCTGACTCAGCAAACATGTGACTTTTATGCTAAGAACTGTTTTGTCTCAATGAGTTTGACTTTTTATAGTATTCTGGGTAAAAATATTGGATATTTTCAGAACCATTTATATTTACACTGAACATGTGGAAATAACTTTCTCAGTTCAATCAGCACTTTTTCAAGTTGGATAGCTTTGATGAAACAGGCAAATCTGTCCACATTCTGTGTTAAATTGAGACCTGTCCAATGGCAGAGCTTTTGTTAAGTATTTGATTTGCGTTTTTTTCACTTCTAGGGAAGCAGAGTAAATGTGTGTTTGTTTCCTCAGGTGGAGCTGAGCTGCCGGCTGACGGTGAGCACAGAAATCGCCAAATCTCTGGAAGAAACTAGACAGCAGAAGCAGGAGCTGCAGACACAGGTCTGTTTGAAACTACACCGCAGTATCATGTAAAATCGACTTTTTTAAGCTTTACTTCATGACATGATGTAATTCCCTCTACAAAAACATCCCTGCAGTGTCGCTTTGATACTTTCATGTATGTTTGAGAAATCCTTTAATATCCTGAATAACCTTTCGGATGGACTCAGTCACGCCTTTGAGGACTCCCCCACTCAGCCCCTTCAGAGTAGCCAGCAGCAATTAGCAAACACCTGCTGGAACTGTTCATCATCTCATCTCATTTTACAAACTACTTCTCAGAGTAATGCTTGTAAAAATGTTTTTAAAGTGTTGATATCATAATGACTTTATGAAGTCTGAATTTCAAAAACAGCAGGAGCTTCTTAAAGAGACAGATTTCAATTTCAAGGTATTAAATATTGAAATATTGATCAGTGTGGACTGACAGTCATCTGTTTTTGGTTGATGTCAGGTTGGTGAGCTGACTGTGGGCCTACAGAACACTCAACAGGAGTTATCTACCTCTGCTAAGAAACTGCGACTGAGAGATGAGGATGTCCAAACACTTCAGAATGGTACGCACACACACACACACACACACACACACACACACACACACACGCACACACACACACACACACACACACACACACACACACACACATATATATCATTAGTCCTTCAAAGCAGATGATAATTTCTGTTTTTGAATTATATGTTTGAGATTTTTGTCACTTTGATTCTAAAAGATCCTGCAGCTGTTGTGATATTATGATATTTGAGAAGTGGCTTCAAGGTTTAACCTTTGTATCCATGTATGCATTTGTGTATGTGTGCTGCAGAGCTGCAGAATCGGCAGGACTCGTTGGCTCAGTTGCAGGAGGAGATGGAGCGGCTGCATGCCCAGCTGCAACAGGCAGAGCTGGACAAAACCTCCCAGCTGACGAGCCTGCAGGGGGCATTGCAGAGCCAGACACAGCAGCTGGACAGCTGCCAGGCACGGGTCAGCTCACGCTAACTAGCTTTCAACATGGAACACAGGCTAGCTGTATGAAGAGTGAAGAGTACCAAATTACTGTACATACAAGAACTTACAAAATAATTATTTAAGTCTCATTCATTTATTTATGAGACTTGAATAAAAAAAAGTTTTATTTAGAATTACTTAATTATTAATTATTCAACCACTAATATTTATTAGTGGTTACATTGAGGTGGATTAATGATGTGAAGCATGAAATGACAGCACTGCTTGGCGCGTGTCATTCAGATCTCGTACCTGGAGGTGGAAGTGGAAACGCTAACAGAACAGCTTCAGAGTCCAAAGGTGTGTGAGGAGGACCAGAACGGCTGTGTCACCGTGGACGACCTGGATCACATCCACCGGGTCAACAGGGAGCTGGAGCAGCAGCTCAGCGATAAGAACCGGGTCAGACATCTTATCTACTCTACAGTCCGTTGCATGGCCCACCTTTTAATATGCAGTTAAACACATCCTGCTGTCTCCCATCATAAAACACACATGTTGTTTTCAGACCATCAAGCAGCTGCAGCAGAGGCTGGCAGAGTTAAAGAGGACTCTACAGAAAGAGCTGGTATCTATCTGAAAGCACATGTGTGCATACTAAAAAAAAAATAGGTTAAACAGGCTACTGATTAATTCCTAGACTGTCCTGAAATCCCTGTTTCTGTTTGCTCAAGAAATTAAAGCCTGAACTCGAAGCTGAAGGGAAAGAAAAGTGTTTGGAAAACCGAGCAGAAAAACAGGAGCGTGTTCATTTGGATCCACTGCTGTCAGCTGCCCCAAGCCCGCCCACTTCCAACACCACCGTGACCAACACCGCTGACCTCAACGACTCACGGGAAATCAACTTTGAGTATCTCAAGCACGTCGTCCTCAAGTTTATGTCCTCCAGGGAGGCGGAGGTGAGTCATCACCACTTGCATTCTGCCAGGTCGATCCGATCAGCACGCACTAAACTAGTGGTGTCTCCTCTGTTAGGCATACCAGCTGATCAGAGCTGTGTCTGTGCTGCTCAACTTCACTCGAGAGGAAGAGGACATGCTGAAGCAAACTCTAGAGTACAAGGTTGGGGCTGTTTTTAACTTTCACTTTAGTTTTGGGAGTTTTTGGTGACAAAATGTAATTGTGGTCTCATTTTACTGAGTTCCTGCTTAAATTGCTCCTGAACAACTGGAAGCATTTCCAGTGTTTTAGCTGGTGGGTGTATTGTGGTTCTACCACTCTTTAATATGTTAGTCTCGTTGCAGCCACAGGTATTGATTAATTTTACTGGAATTTTATACAATAGAGGATAATTGTGATGTGAATGGAAATGCGTGTTTTTTAGGCTCTGACCTGCTTGTTATTTTTATTTTATTTACAAATTACGGACATTTTGTTGTTGGTTTATCACAGGAAACTACAAAAAATGCATGCTGATGATTGTATAGGGATGTAAATATGTATGCCTTGGCATCCTCTGAATTAGATAAAGCACTATAAGGGCTTCTGGCCACTCACCATTTTTCAGGTTCATTAATAATTACTATATAGTTATTACCACAGTTTCCACCCTAAATGCAAATCTCATCCTTGTGGTGGGCTGTGAATCACATATTGACATCATTGATAAGGCAGAACCTGGTGAGGTTTCCTTTGTTAGACGAGCTACGTTGCACAATGAAATGTTGCAGAGTAGTGCGTCTCATTGAGATTCACCAATAGTGAATTCAATTTAGATTTTAAGAGCAGAATAACTTCCTGTTGTATGAACATTTTTGAGTTTTCTCTCTGCAGGTTAACGCTAATTCCAGCTGTGTCTCTTCTCTGTTCTAGATGTCCTGGTTTGGATCCAAACCTTCTCCAAAAGGAATCATCCGGCCTTCCATCTCAGGCTCTTCCACTCACTGGAGCTGATGAGCATCAAAGTGAACTGCTGTGGTGACAGTGAAGGAAATAAAGGACCAGATTATCCAGGAAGAGGACCTCTTCGAGTTGTGGCTCCTGTTATTGATCTTGGAAACACCTCCTACAGCTTTCCCCCTGCTCTCTGTTACCAGTTGTTGTCTGTGTGTTCCTGGCAAAAAAGGATCTACACAGTATTATCAAGACACAACCACCTTGCATTTGGTAATTGATTTTTAAAGGGAACTGACAGTCTCGTTAGTATCTGCTGTAGGCATCTCAATTTACCTCTGACATTTGACACAAATTGAATGTTTTCCTCTCTGTTATGCTTTAAGAGATAGGCAGACTGTTTACCGCCACACATCTGATGTTTGTTTTGTTCAAAAAAGCAATACCATGACAACGCTATCCCCACCAGACAGTGTTGGCATGGTATTCAGTGCATCTCATGTTTTAAATCCAAAATGCTTTTATCAGTGTTAGTCTGTACAAAAGACTAAACCTGCATTGGCTTCAGTTCATTACAGGTTGAACTGAAAAAAGTTCAGATTACATATTTTACACATTGATAAGTAAAATGGACATAATTATTGACGCTGGTGTCTCTGGATCCAGACTGTCTTTACTTAAAACAAACATCTCCTCCGACTGAGTCAGTTTTATTTCTGTGTTTTCTGAAATTAATTTCAATCAAATAATTTTACTGGGTGAAATTGACTTGTACTAGTTTTTTTGGTACTTAAAGGCAACATTTTACCTGCCACTGTGTGGTGAGCTAAAAACAGAATGGCCTTAATTCAAACTGTTTTAATCGTAGTGTGACTCATTACTAAAAGCTTGCTCTTTATGCTTTTGTTCCAGCTGATTTTACAGTAACAGTGGCCCCAATCGGAGTGCCGGTCAGATGTCTCTCTAACTTCTAATGCTGGTCTACTGTTTTTAGCCCCAGTGCTAACAATACAATACATTAAATAAGTCTAAGTCTAAAACATGGATCTGCTCAACAGGAACAACTGGAAAAGAAACAAAAATAATTGAGGGATACTATGTATATAATCTGTACCTGCCTTTAATGTAAATGAATTTACATTCCAACATGTCTATTTGTGTATAGAGATATGTACATACTGTATGCACTGAGATATTTCTAAATCAATGGGTGTAAATAATTTGAGTTGGAGTTTACAGTATTTGTCATTAACATTGTCCAGGACTTAATGTATTTGTGCTGCCGCTTGTCAATCAGTCCCCCTGCCTCATGTGTTCCCCCAGTTCTCAGTTTGATGAATGAGCTTTCAGACTTTATAAATTAGGGGCGCATCGATAAATCGGCCCGCTGATAAACTGGCCCTGATGTCCTTTATATTGGAGGATCAGAGATCAGCGGATACGCACGTGAAGCAGATCTTCATATGTATGCACTCCAATCATTGAGTCCCCATCAGCCACTGTCATCTTCTGTTTAGAAACATTTCATTCAAAAAGACTGCTGTCACCTAAACCCGGCAGTTCAGGCTTCTTAAAGATCGGCGATCGGCCAGAAAACTACAATCGGTGCACCCCAAATTATTCCTCTGGAATTTTAAGTTGCTTGTATGGTTTTTCTTTTTTATTTTGGGGTGCAGGAAAACAGTTTTGAATGCAGATTTTTCCTGTTTTACTAACTGATTGGTAATGACTGGTGGCCAACTGGAGTCATTTTATTTGTTTGGGTGGGATGAACCATCTCCAAGGCAATTAACAGTTGGGAACACTTTGTAATCTCATCAGTTAAGCTGTGTTTTGTCCCTCACAATATTCTTCCATCACTACAACTTTGCGTCTAGCTTTTCTATGATTTAATGACCGCCTTGAGTACAGTTGTAATTGCTTTCCAATGATTACAAATAAACCCAGAAAGGTCACAAAACCTGATCTCTGAATCCAAACCCTGCTTATTTATTGAGTGTCTTTTTGCCATTCTTTTCCTCTTCTATTTTTGCACACAGTAATTAAATCTAATTTGCAACAATTTTACCAGATTGTAGTCATTGTAGAAAGAAAGTACACCACAGATTCATGGGGTTAACACAACCTATTCCATTGTTTATTAAAGACAAAGTTAAAATGTGCGAGGGGGGATATTTAATTTCTTGTTCTAGAAGAATTGTGACAAAGAACAACACAAAACTCGTCTAAAAATATTCATTTTAATTTACATTTCCTTGAAAATGTTAAAAATGTTGCTTTATCTTTGCGCGAGTGATGGTGGTTGAGTCCTTGCTGTAAACACTCCGTCCGTCAGGGGCGCTGTTCGAACATTTCGGATGAAAGTCTCGATTCGCTTTTTTCAGGAAGCTCCTTTTTCTGAGCACGCGGTGTGTCCGGCCTTTCCAACAGGGCAGCGACGACGAACATGGTGAGGAGCTGACTCTCCGGAATAAAATATGAATTTTTCACGTTTAGCAGGCTGTTTAACTAGAGTTCTTCAAGATGCAGTGGTATATAAGGTTCTTATGTACCTCTCGGCACATATATTGAAGGTTCGGTTACTAAAGTTTTGGAATAAATAGTTAATTATGAAGCGCTCCTGCCGAGCGGTGCTACTAAGAAGCTAACAGCTAGCTTGAGGAACACGGTGGGACTAGCGATGACTCGTATGTTTTGTTTATAGAACATTTATTTGTACATTTACTTAAAATTAAACGCAGTAGGTTTGCCAATGGAACTGTATATTATGTAACGGATAGTTTAACGGTGGAAGCTGTGTCTGTAGAGAAGTAGGAGGTCTGGAGATGGCCTGTGTGCAGAACTAGCAGCTTTCTGAAGCACGTCTTTTCCCTGTCTGACTACAGGCCAAAATCAAGGCAAGAGATTTGCGGGGCAAGAAGAAGGAGGAGCTGCTCAAACAGCTGGATGACCTGAAGAACGAGCTGTCCCAGCTCCGGGTGGCCAAAGTGACCGGCGGAGCCGCTTCCAAGCTCTCAAAGATGTGAGTGTGAGCCCGCTGGTGCTGCTTGATCCACATCTACACAAACGAACTGCTTCCGCTTCTCCTCAGCTAGTTGTGACAAATGTATCCATATCAATATTTAAATCACTGTAGTTAGGACAGGAAGATCTTTCTGAAGGTTCTTTTTTTTTATGACCAGGGTTTGGTGATGCAAACATAATTGTAATTCACCAGCTTTTAAAAAAGGCAAATGTGTCAAGAATATTCTCTATATAGATGTGGCGTTTGTAAGAAATGTTAAGAGTTTGATTATTTTTGGGACAGAATGTGCCCAGCGCGATCACAGACCTGTATAGGGGTCCAGACCAAAGTAGACGATACCATTACTGAGCTTAGTTCTGGGAACATGATGCTGTTGAGCTGTTTTTCATTCAAAAGGATACTTCAAGGTGATGTTAGAAACGTCATGATTTTACATGACAGTGATCCAAAATGCACAGTTGGGTCGACAACAAACTCTTAATGGTTTGGAGTTCGGACTTGTTTCTCATAGAGAATCTGTGTAGAGTTCAGAGAGGTCTTCCAGCCAGAAGCCCTGCTGCTCCTTAAAAAAGCTCATTGGAGACGTACAATAAGTTTCAGCAGCTGGGAGAAGCATTTGGTTGCTGCAACCAAGTCTGCCATTACTAATATTTCTACATAATCTTGGGACATGAGGTTTTTGTTCATATTCAAGTAAAAAGATTAATTTCCACAGTAGTGCACATTGTATGAGATCTCTTGGGTTATGTCTGTCATTTCCTGTCAGAAATGATTAAAAATAAAGATCAAAATCTGGATTTACTGCAGAGACATTAATCTGTCAAATCTCTGTTAAAGACAATTTAAATGTCTTTCTGTATTGGTTCTCATCTGCAGTCCACTGGACTTGAGGTCAGCTAGTTTTCTATGGGCAGCACTGTGAGGGATTAGTGAAGAGTTTGACTGGAACAAGCTGGAGTGTCTATTAGTGAAATCAGTTGTTAAAGTGACTGAGTTCAGTGGATTCCAGCTCAGTCTCTGATGGAGGGTAGGGGTGTGTGCTTCTGTTCCAGGCAGTGTTAACCACCTCACACACCAAACCCTCCTGTTCTCTGCCCAGTCATTGCAGCGCCTCCTGCTGTCCAGTTTGTCAAATGTGGGACTCCTGCAGCTGGCTGAAGAACTTACTGTCTTGAAAGCTGAACTACAGTAGCAAAATGTAGTTTAGCTTTGAAATCTTATTTCAAAAGAAATAAAATTTCATTTGAAATCTTATTAACTATGTATTTGAAATATTTTGCAAATCAGCCCTGCTCCAGTCCACTTCTTGTTCAATCTTAGAATCTTCTTGTTCAAGAAACCGTCTACATAGGAGATGCAGACGGTTTCTTGGGGCATTTGATGGCCGTCCCAGTGGACAGCAAGTCCCTGGAAATGGAGAGCCTGTTTTCCTTCAGTCCCTGCCAGGTCTTCTCCCAGCCAGAGGACCTGGACCTTCATCTTTGGGTGAAAGTTGGAAACTTTTCACTGCTTGTTGGATGTTTCTGCCAGAACTACTTTGCTAGAATCAGAGAAGACTAGTCTCTAGAGATGCTCCCTGGATGAAAGCAAAACTATAACTTTACAAATTCACCTGCTCATTGAAGCAGTTAACTTAAACAACCCCAAATCCAGATAAAAAACAAAAAAAAAAACAAACATGCATTCTAACTGCTGAGTTTCAACCAGTGTGGTGTTGATTTAAAGAAAATGAGAGTTGCAGAAGTGTTGTGGGAATCTTCCAGTTTATTGTGTTGATGTTGGAATTCTGCGGGTGTAACTGACATTTATAAGCCAAGCTGGTCAGAACATGTTCAGAGGAGGAAGCACCCAGCGGCCTGGAGGAGATGGAATCAATTCATTAGGAAGCTGTTTTCATCCAGTCAGGATGTAAATTCCTCAGCTCTTGTGTTCATCAGTGGGTTGATCAACTGTCTGACTCTGTTTCACAGCCGTGTCGTTCGCAAATCCATCGCCCGAGTCCTGACTGTCATCAATCAGACACAGAAGGAGAATCTGAGGAAGTTCTACAAGGTAAGAGCCACATTCTTAGTCTCTGTTCAATGAATACACACACACTGAGCCGTCAGTTTGGGATGTTCAGTTTCTCTGGTCTGAGATGATACTTGTTGAGCTGATGTTTTGCTGATTGTCAACAACTGCTTACCAAAAGACTGAGACTTGAGAGGACTGACCCTGGTTAAAATGGCTGCTCTGATATCTTGGTATTGTTGCTGCTGCATCAGAACATCTTTAACCATCTAATTCTGAAATACTGTTTTTGGCATGGGAATACAGTGTTTGTGGTTGCTTTGGGATGCACAGCTTTTTTTTTTTTCTTTTTTGTCTTACGCACTTCATTCAGATAATTCTAAACAAGTTCAGTGTCAGATGAACCGTTCAGCAGGCTGCATGACCAACTCTCCTGACCCTAACATTGTTGTTTCAGGGCAAGAAGTACAAGCCCCTGGATCTGAGACCCAAGAAGACCAGGGCAATGCGCCGCCAGCTCAACAAGCACGAAGAGAGTCTGCGCACAAAGAAACAGCAGAGGAAAGACCTCCTCTACTCCATGCGCAAATTTGCTGTCAAAGCTTAAAGGCTGTTTGTTATTGATAAAATAAAATCTGTCTGAAAAACTTTGTTTTCGTGAATAGCTCTCTTAAATGATCTTACATGCTTCAGTCAAAATTTACTTGCTTATTCAAATGACAATTTTGATTTCATATCACTAAGAAGTTACTATGAAGTTGATTATTTAAACATTGGAAAAAGTCGACATCCTTAATCAGGAAACTTTCTAATTCCAAATTTTACATTGTGCTAATCTGATATAACCATATTTTATTTATGGGAATGTTAGCCAAAATATTCTACACTGAAAAACACAAAAATTTTACAGGGAAGCTGGAAGCCTGTCATTACGGATGAAGTGTAATGTATAATGTGGCCAGCAGGGGGTGCTGAACGCAACTATGAAGACTTGTGGAACGCAGACTGGAAGTTAGAACTATTTAGAGCCAGTGGATTTCACAAGGTGGTGAAATGCCTAAATCAGTTTTTATTTAAAACTAATAGATTATGTTTCATAACGTCACCCATTCATCCCTTTTGTTTACTTAGTGTATATAGCCCCTGGATTTTTGCCACATATATATTAGATTACTTCTACATGTGACAAAGACAGCCATGTTGCTGGAAAGACGGTGAGCTGAATGCTCAGAATGCCTGTCACCTTTCCACTAGTTACTTTCCTACAGTCACAACGCAGTCAGCCTCCTGTGGACCGCCTCACCACCATGAAGCCTCCAGCAGGCCTTCTCTCTCTGTCTGTGTGTGTTAGCATGCTTTCTTCTTCTCCTCTACCTCATCTAAACCCTGCTGGTGATCCAGGCTGCTTCAAGGTCAACAGCTGCAAATGCATCATGAAGGATGGCAGTGGAGTGATAAACCTGAGAGGCATGGGAGATGCAGATGGTTTCTTGGGGCATTTGATGGCCGTCCCAGTGGACAGCAAGTCCCTGGAAACGGAGAGCCTGTTTTCCTTCAGTCCCTGCCAGGACTTCTCCCAGCCAGAGGACCTGGACCTGGACCTGGACCTTCCAGGAGCCGCCTGCTCCAGTGTTGCTGCCTGCCTCATCATCAGGTAGAACAAGACAGGGAAAAAATAAGAGTTTTTTTTGTCCTCGTTGACATTTAATTTATATTTCTTATAAACTTATTTATTATTTGTTTAAACCTTGGTTCTGTTGATTCAAATTATATATTTGGTATGACTATCTTATATTGCATTACATTTTATAAATTAAAAATAGTTGTTTTTCTACCTTTTATTTTGCCACTTGATCTCATGGCTGCATATTTTATTGACTAAACTAAGACAGAGTTTTCCTTTTGTCTCTCCTGGTGTTGACATTCTTTAGCAACTCATCTTTTATTGCTTCCCATACTGTCAATTCACAAAATTTGACAAGTTTTAATAACTTTGCACAGCACATGAAATTATTGTCAATTTTTGACACTCCCAGGTTTGGATGGAAAAAAATAAACATCCAGATAATTTTTTTAAGATGGAAAGAATAGGATGGTTAGATTAATAAAAACTGTCATTAAGTTAAAAATTCAGAATATTTACTTCTTGTGAATGTTGATGACTGAAGTTGGAGCAGAGAAGGCACATAGTTATATTCAATATTTCATATGTATGTCCTGAAGAGTCTTGTCAGATTAAAATCAGCTTTTGAAAAAGAAACAGCCGTTCAGCACGAATTAAACATACTTTTTCAAACATCCGTCTGGAGAGTTAATCTATATATTGTGTTTTATTTAATGAAGTTTAAAACAAATGGACTTTTCAATGATCACATTTTTTAATGTTGTGAAAAGCAGAATGCATCAAAAGGGAATGTGACTCAAGATCCTACATGTCATAAATGTTGTGCTTTATTATTTTTTGAGTCTAATCAAAAAAGCTTAATTTAGCCCTTAGTTCTTTACTTGACGCTTATTTATCATTTAAAAATTCTGAAACTTATTGATCAAAGCAAATATATGCATCTCCTGAGTTTGTTGGACTGTTTCCAGCTGTTGATGGAATATTCACCACTAGGGGGACCCCTAACACACAAAAGAAAGGGTATCTGCTCTCATTCAAACAATACTGTGCAGATGTATTTGCGAAAATGACTGCAGCTTATTAAAATGCATATTTTATTAAGTTATATGTTGAACTTGACGTGGTTCATCAGATTTTTGCAGAACTTTGATGGTGCTGAGGGATTCTGATAGGATTGATGTGTTTAAAATGTTAAATATTCATTCTTATGTATCAAGTGAAATCAAACACGTTGCAGCTATGTGGTGTTTTTCTTGCTTGGTGAGGTCCCCGGGGGCCAGGGGCCACATCAGCCGCTATGTGAACTATGGGATGCACGAGGGCAACGAGTTCCACTACAACCAGACTCTGAAGACGCTGACTGTGTTTTACTTTGGTGAGCAGGAACACAAACATTTTCCTATGTTGAATTTTTGCTTTCATCATGACATCACAGCAGTCTCTGTGTCCAGCTCACAGGGAACAGCCAATGACTGCAGCCCATTACCACTGCAGTCCCAACCAGTCCACATCCTCCCTCCGAGTCCAGAGCCTCAGCAGCCAGGGCCCCCTGCACATCTGGGTGGAGAGCCCCTGTGCTTGTCCAAACGCCTGCGCTGTGGGGGACCTGGGTCTGGGCACCATCTTCATCATCATCCTCTCACTCTGCGCAGCAGCATACTTCATCCTTGGTAGTGTTTTGTCTCCTGAAGGAACGAGACGATCCTACTTTTATGCCATGAAATGTGCATTAAAAAGTATTTATGCATCTTAAAAGTTTTGCTCATTTTGAATTGCCAAACGAGCTATGCATGATTGTGAAGTAAAAGAGCAATTATGCATTATAACAAATTCTTTTAATGACTATTTGCCTTTTAACTTTATTTAAAAGTTCATTACAACTGTAGTCAGGGGCTGGGTTTTGCTCTCAGAGGGGGCTTAGTTACACTTTCAAACTGGAGCAAGTAACTTATAAAAAATAAATGTTTGCATATATGTTGAAACTGACTATGATATGACAGTTTGGTATGAGACAGATAATCGAGCTCTGCCTTTTTCCCGGTAGAAACAACCAATGAGAGCCAGGAGGTGGGTCTCCCCCTCATTTCTCAAGCTGCAGCTTCTTCCTGATAGCATGGTCAGTTGACAGTCCTAAGCCCCTCCTCCTGGCTCTGATTGGTTGTTTTTGGTTGGGAGCGGCAACAATAGCTCAGAAAGAAAATCAATCTTTTCACAAATTATCTGTCTCAGACTGTTACGACACGGTGACAGTTTTAACAAATATGTATGTGCATATTAAATACAACGGTATGTCACACTTTCCAGATTTTTATTTGTGAAAGATTTTGATGATCTCTGTATGATTCACAATTATGCTGCATCTTGTGTTGGTCACAGTAATTACATCCGTTTGGGGTTTGCATGTCTGCTTTGGGTTTTCTCTGGAGACTGGTCCAAACATGTTCAGATTTGTTCGATTGCAGACTGTTTTTATGTGCTTGTTTGCTTCTATGTCTCCTTGTTCATTGTGAACTGGATTCTTGTAAAGACTTATACTGTCATCCAGTGACAGCTGTCGCTGGACAACCTAACAACCTAACTCTCAGCAGAATTAGGTTTAGATGTCTAAATTCCCAGGGAACCAAATACGACCCAAGAACACCATGACATGGTACTGAGCTCCTCTGTGTCTACAGGTTCCTGCGCTCTCCGACCGTTCCAGAGCAGCAGCGGGATGCAGATCTCTCCAGAGCGCAGCGTGTGGTGCATGATCTGCTACTTCTGCAGTGAGACACGACCAACACCACGCTCTCAGTCGACTCTGCGCCTGGGCTGAAAAGGATCAGAAGAGTCAGCAGAGTTTAGATTGTTTTGTGAAAGGCATCTGATCATCAGTGGTGATGATGTTTGACTTGTGCATTATGCATTAAAACGAGATTTTAAAACGGAACCAAAGCAGAAACAGTTAAAATGCCAGGATTCTGGGATGAGAAAAACTTGTTGGGGGCTGGAGGACCACACTCAGCAGGAGCCACCTCTCAACCCCCACACACTTTTAGTTGCTCTGCTGGTTGTGGTGATGGGGATTGGTCAGCTGCATGTGTGTGTGTGTGTGTTGTTTCAGCCCTTTTTGGGGTGGGCAGCTGTGTGGGGTTGAGAGTTTGGGTGCACCTGCTAGATTGGTCCTGTATGGGTCTGTGGCCCTGTTTCCAGAACCTGCACTGGTCTTCACTGTGGTAGGAGGCAGCTAGTTGGATTTGGGGGGATCTGATTGGACCGCAGCTTTCTGCTCTATCAGGGGTTCCGATGTCGGTCCGCATGGCACTGCCACATTTCTGTACTCCTAACAAATGACTTTGTTTCTCAGTTGAACAGTTTTTTTTTAATATTACACATGAAAAAAGCTTTGAAATTTTAAATAATTTTATCACAAAACCCTGGTGTTTAATAGAGTTGAGCAGATTTTTAAAAACCAACATAACCTGGAAATCTGTATTAAAAACTAAAGAGAAAATTGTTTCTTTGGCTTGTTTTAATTTGACCTCAGATAATGTAAGAAAACAAAGCCGAGCAGAAAACAAACGACTTTCTGATTAGTTTAATTAGTAGCGGGCTTTGGGCCAGACTCCTGCTCCCCCGGCGTCTCATTCTTTGTGACTAATTAGTGGTTAGAATGTTACCTCCATCTCTTCTCTCTGTGTGGTCCCAACTTGCCTTTGCAGCTGTCTTTTATTATGAAACAAATACAGAACACCTGTTTCACTTAGGAGGTCATTTGTGTGGCATTAGTGCATGGCTTGTCCCAAACTTCCTTATCATGTTGGTCTTTTGGTTGAGGAACATTTTTTCTGCTGGAGCTGTTGGGAGTTCTTCACCAGAAGCTTCCTGGTCGGAGTCTCTCTGGTCAGTGTGTAGGTTGTTTGGAACCAGCAGCAGTGTTGAGTCATGTGGAGGTATTTCGGAGGTGAACCGGCTCAATCTGTTATCTGCCCTGTGCCATGTTGTTTCTGCTGTGATGTCAGAGGGGCCCATGGCCGGCCACTGACGGTATGTGAAGCCTGAACGTCGTTTGGTTTCGACCTCGCATTCTTCAGGTCTGCAGAGAACACAGGAGCACAGAGAACGGTAGCATCTCACTGCGAAGAGGTCAGTTCATTAAATATATCTCAGCCGTTTCCTTCCAGTACTGACACTGAGCACTGCCTTGTTTAAAGGGACGGGATCATCTAAAATCAACTTTTTTGAGCTTTAATGAGGTCATAATGTTATTCCCAGAACAAACACATACCTGGTGTGTTGCCTTGATTCTGTCATGCACGTCTGAGAAATCTGTGAATCTCCATGACAACCATTCAGCTGTGAACAACACCTGGGTGGACCTAGCCCCGCCTTAATGGTCACAGCTTCTCCTCACAGCTGCTGTTTCCAAGCACCCCTCCCTTCATGGCTCTGCCATTCAGCTCCTTCAGACTAGCCAGCAGCAATTAGCAAAACCTGGTGGAACTGTGCATCTGCTGAGCTCATTATTGGATTAATTTAAAAAAAGCTTCTATACATAGCTGAAAACCTACTTGTCAGATACTTTTGTCTTATTTAAAGTGCATTAAGCTATTTAAATTAGTAAGATTTGTGTTTTTTAAGTGTAAGTCTTTTGTGATATGAAGTTAACTTCAAAGCCATCAGACTTTTGTTTTGGGTCTGACTTATTGGTTTTCTGCATGTTAAATACATGCAGAAAACATGGTGATTTATTTCAAATTATAATAAATTATTTCCTAAAAATGTAGTTTGTAGTGACTTAAAAACTACATTTTTAGGTCATATAAACAGCACGTTTCACTCTCCAGGGTCTTTATGTCTAAGCTTTTTTTTTTTATGACTGTAGTTTTAGCCTAAACCCTCATGCATGTCCAGAGACCCCCACCCTTTATCTCCATCCTTAGCTGTTTCTGCTCACATATTTTCACTGAATTCTTTACTGTAGAACGTGGTGTAACTTCATCCTCATGGACCTTTGTGTTACACGCCATGATTCCTTGGATATGCAATAACATATCCCTGTTAGACCCAGTGGGCATGCTTTCTCATGCGCTGCAGTTGTTCTAATTGCTTGGGAAAATAACTTTTGTCTCCCCACCCTCCAACTGGGATCATTCTATGCAGGATAGGAGAGTAAAACACATAAAATCTGTCAAAGAAACATTTAATAAAAGTGATGCAGATGGCTTTGTTTGCATGACCTGCAGCAGCGCCTACGCATTTTTAACACCATTCATAACCCTCGCCTCACGTCCTCAGCATTCTGCTTATTCTCCTCACAAATTGCTGAAGGGAGATACAGATCCAGTCTAGAAACCCGTGGAGAGCCATGATGTTCTAAACTAAACCTGCTTCTTGTCATTGCAGGGAATTATGGGTATTTCTGCAGGCAAAATAAATTTAGTCAAATTCATTACTGAGATGTAATTTAGGATTTGCCAACATTGATTACTAGCCAGAACTGGGTGATTGAATGAAAACAAACAATCTGAACAACTGATTGCAGCTTATCACCAAAGTTGTAATCATGCAAAACTGCTACAAAGGAAAAAAACTGTCAGCAATGCCAATCTGCGTAATAAGCAAAGAATGCAAAACACAGAAACATTCATGTCAACTGGCAGTGAAATTTTGTTTGAATCATCACAAACAAGCACAGCTGTTCCCGCCCAAAGCCAGAAGAAAACTCAAATATGCGCATTGTCTGGACCCAATTAGAGAGACTTGCTGGCACTTGGAAGCTGTTATGTTTGCGTACATGCTGATTCAAATTTCCTTTCAAGTGGTTAGCAGTGAGAATAAACTGTCACATTTCAGCACCACAGAAAGATCTGTGGTGGCTCCGCTTCAGATGATCCCTGACTGAGATTTCTGACCGTTCATCATGTTAGTCACATCAGACTCAGGTTCTTTAGTCAATACTGCGGCTCTCAGAGTAGAGACAAGAGAGGAGTCAGCTATCTGGGCATCTGATTTAATGCTTCCTTTATTGTCAGCCTGGGAGGACAGAGTGATTGACTCTGATCTGAACCTTCAGACACATAGAGACAGTTACAAAGTCAGCCTTCGATCACCTGAAGAACATTTCCAGGATTAAAGAACTTATGTCTCAGCAAGATCTAGAGAAATGTGTTCACACATTTATCTTTTGTTGCACTGATTACTGCAACAGTGTTGTCACAGGTCTGCCTACAAAAAAATCAATCCTCCAGCTGCAGCTGATCCAGAACGCTGCTGCTGGTATTGTCACCAAAACCAGGAAGATAGATCACATCACCCAGTTCTAAAGTCCTTCACTGAGAGAACAGACTTTAAAATACTGCTGATTACTGAGTGACTCAGCACCACAATACATAAAACTCTGCTGTTGTTTTATCAACAGACCTCTCTGGTCTTCTGGTTCTGGTATGCAGACCAGAAATAGAACCAAACATGGAGAAGCAGCATTCAGCTTCTATTCACTACAAATCTGGAACAAACGTCCAGAAAACCAAAAACAGCTAAAACCCTGAGTTCCTTTAAATCCAAAATAAAAACCCACCTGATCGGAGCTGTTGTTGACTCAGAGCATTGATGAAGGCATAGGACAAAATGTAATGTTTATTGATTGTTTCATAAGTGCTTACTGTATTATGTTTCAAACTGCCTTGTTCCTGAATGTGCTGTACTCGTAAACTTGGCTCCATCTCCCTTCAGATCTGGGAAAGCCTTGGAATGCCAGAGGGAGGGATAAAAGAACGGTCGTTCGGTTGGTTTCACAGAACTCTGCCCTAGAACTTAGCAGAGCTGCACAGGTTCGATTTGAACATGCTTTTTCAATTACTCACTTGCTGTGTGACTGACTGGATCTCTCCAGTTTCTTCCAAGTGCAGCCCCACCTTCCTAATGGACCTTTTCAACTTTGTTCCCACTCTGCACCAGAGAGTAAGTAGAGGAGCTCTGCTTTCCAGCCTCCCTCTGTTGCGGCTTTGCAGCAGAGGGCAGCAGAATCCCTGCTCTGTAAACACACACATTTTTCATCTTAGGGAAAAATATTCAATTTTCATTGAGATTAATGACTAAATTTAACTTAAAGTAAGGTAACAAACACCTCCAGTAAGAACTTTGAAGAAAATTTTAAATAATGTGAAATAGTAGAATTGAGAGATCACATAAAAATAAATTGTTGAACTATTCCCAATAGTTCAACAAGTTTCTATGTAAGGAAACCCAGCAGACTGCATCCAGTCAACGACCTGCAGCATTCACTGCTCCTGGACGAGAATGTAGACACCTGCTTATGTGGTTGACTTTACAGCAATCTCTCATAGTCATGATGCAAGTAGCAACAATGGAGAGGAAAAACTCCCCTTTAACAGGAAGAAACCTCCAGCAGAACCAGAACTGGGCTCAGTACAAGGGGCCATTTGCCATGACACACTGGGGGTTTGAGAAGAAAAAGCAGGATGCACAAAATAAAGACACAAAGAAGATCCAGTGGTTAATTCTCTGTTAAAGGGATATTGTTTTGTATTTTCCAGGCACATAGTTTTAGTTTTATAGTCAAGTAACTGTAACTTTATAAAAATACTGTATGTATCAGATATAGCTTAAAATATATTCAGCTTTGTAATTTAAATTTGAAATCAGGCCTCTGAAGCTCTGAAACTCGGAACCAGCAGCACTGAGGCGGAGCTGTGTCCTTGAAGGCGGAGCTGTGTCCTTGAAGGCAGAGCTACAGGTCCACCCAGGTGTTTCACACAGCTGAATGGTTGCCATGGAGATTATAGGATTTCTCAAACATGTATGAAAGAAGCA